CTATGGCCCTGCGCCTCTCGTCGTCAAAACAACGTAGGCGCTACTTGGTGGGCTTTGAGCCTGGGATGAGGTGCAGTGCATGCTCGGTGACCTCCCGCAGTATGCCCAGCATGTCGGAAGGTTTCCATGCGAAGACATCGCGATTGGCACATAGGAAGTCGACGAGCTCGCATTCCTATTTGGCCAGGAGCTGGGCCCTGATCCGCACCGTCTTGGTTGGGTCGGTGGGGTTGATCCTCACTGCCTTAGTTTCCTCGATTGGATGGAAGGTAGTCAAGGAGGTTGGCTTGTTGTAGTCCGGGACTGCTGGAGTCGACGATTCTCCGAGCCGAGGGAGCTCGGGTGAGTTGATGACGGCCGTGGCGAGCTCGAAATGCTCGTGGTCGCACGTGAAGGCGTGCAAAAAGGTGCTATCCACAGTGATGACGTCATTCGGTCCCGGCATCTTCAACTTGAGATAGGTGTAGTTGGGGATGGCCATGAACTTGGCGTAGCATGGCCGCCCCAAGATGGCGTGGTAGGACCCTGGGAAGTCCACCTTGAAGGTTAGGACCTCCAAGCGGAAGTTGGCTCGGTCGCCAAATGTGATGGGAAGGTCGATCTGCCCGAGCAGGTATGCCTGTGTCCTCGAGATCACGCCGTGGAAGGGAGAGCTCACTAGACGGAGCTCCGACCGAGGGATGCGCATGGCGTCGAGGGTGTCGTCGTACAGGATGTTGAGGCCGCTGCCTCCGTCCATCAGCACCTTGGTGAGGCGCTTCTTGCGGATAATGGGGTCAACGACGAGTGGGTAGCGCCTTGGTCTGGCGACGTGGGAGGGATGGTCCCTCTGATCAAAAGTGATCGGAGATTCTAACCAGCTAAGGAAGGAGGGGACGACTGTTTCGACGATGCATGCCTCTCTGTAGCGCACTTTGTGCTGACGCTTGGAGTAGATGGCATCAGATCCCCCGAAGATCGTGAGGCATTCCTCAGGATCGGGAAAGCCATCCCCATCCTTACTCACCGTGCCTCCCTTCATGGCTGCTGCCTCCTTGCCCTTTCCTTCTTTCGGGCCGTCGGCCTGTCGTAGAAAGCATTTGAGGAGTTCGCAGTCCGTGTAGAGGTGCTTGACGGGGTAGGCGTGGTTGGTGCATAGGCTCTCCATGAGCTTGTCGAAGTGGTCAGGCAGGCCCTGCTAGGGCTACTTGCCCGCGCGATCAGCCGCGGTGACCAACGTGGAGTTGGTCGGTCGGCGCCGATCCTTCTTGTTCTTTTTGCCCCTCTATGTGGAGGGGCCCTCGTCTTGGTCCTCACGCTTGGCCTTGCCCTTGTCCCGGCCTTGACTAAAGACCGCTTCGATCGCCTCCTCACCGGAGGCATGGTTCGTGGCGACGTCGAACAGGTCACGGGTGGTATGGGGCTTCAGACAACCAAGCTTGTGGATCAAAGACTCACAGGTTGTCCCAGAGAGGAACGCGCTGATGACGTCCGCGTCGATGACATCAGGAAGGGAGTTGCATCGTTTTGAGAACCTACGGATGTAATCTCGTAGGGACTCGTTGGGCTTCTGCTAGCAGCTCTTGAGGTCCCAGGAATTCCCAGAGCAGACATACGTCCCCTGGAAATTCCCGATGAAGATCCTTTTGAGATCTGCCCAGTCGCGGATGCTGTCATGTGGGAGGAATTTGAGCCATGCTCGAACATGCTCCCCCACACAGATGGGGAGGTATTGAATGATGAAGTGGTCATCATCCACTCTCCCGGCTCGATAGGCGAGCCGGAAGTCTTCGAGCCATATACTAGGATTCGTCTTCCTGGTGTATTTGGCGATGTTGGTAGATGGCCGAAAGCACTGTGGGAACAACGCTCTCTGGATGCGATGGCCAAAGGCCCGTGGTCCCGGGCCGTTCGTGCTGGGACTCCGGTCGTCCGGTCGGCGACCATGCCTGGGGTGCGTTTCATCGCTCCCCTCGATGGTGCGGCAAGGGCCCGTGCCGCCTGCTCTCACTGCCCCTCAATGGACGTCATCATCATGCCGGGCCTGACACCGGTTGTTGATGACACTGCGAGCGTCTTGGTTCGGCCCGAGGCGCTCACGCATAGGTGGTCGGTGTGGATCGGGCACCGGATCAGGTCATGGTGCAGCTACGGCCTCCTATGCCACCCTCGTCGGCTGTAGCGGTGAGCGGATGGAGCGACTGGACTGGTGCACCCCCATTCCCTCGGTGGGGAAAGAGGCTGCGAGTCGGTGTCACGACGTGGAGCTCTCCGCTTGTTGAACTACGGCGGTTTCCACCAGTGCCCGGAGGTTTCGGTGGATCGCCTGTTCCTGGGGGTCGTCCGGCTCAGGAAGGCCACACAGAAGCATCGCCGCAGTGGGGATGTTCTGGCCAGCCCGAGCGAACTATGGGGCATCGTTGCCTCCGTCGATGATGTTGCGCTGGACCCGACGGGCACGATCCCGGGCGCCGCTCGCTGGGTTACACGTGCGGGGCACAGCGTGTTGCGCCGAGCGCGCCAGCGCAGGTGTTGGCTGGTTCTGCCGCCTTTGTCGTAGCTCCTTGCCGTGCTCCTGTGCACACGCGAGGGCCTCCACGCGAGGGTCCGGAGGGGTGTGGGTCTGTAGAGACTCCGCTACCACCGCATGACTGTCTCGGGGCGTCCGCCATAGCGCACTCCCAGGACAAAGGGTGGCTAGGTGCCACGGCATCACCGATGCTGGAGCCGTCGCTCTCAACCTCGTCATCCATGAGGTCGTGGAAAGAGGTGGGAGCGTAGCCCGCCATCCCCACGAATTCGGATGTGAGAGGGGGCGGCGTCAGCATCTTTTAGAGCCCCCGTGCGTACGCGTCCGCGGGAGACGTGAGGCCGTAGGGGAACCGGTCGCATAGCGGTCGCGGCGGGGACAACGGGGTCCCTCCGGAGAATCGGCGGAAGATATTGAATAGCGAGTAAAGAACAATATGTACGTTACTCACAGTGGGGTTTGAGCACGGCGTAGGCTCGGAGCGAAGCGCAGGCGTCTCGTCGTTGAGGTTGCCAGGTGGCCTGGGGCCAACGGAGGGCGCTCCTCCTCCGATGGACGCCGGGTCAAGTGCCTCCTTGCGAAGGCGAAGCACGCTGAGCCGATCGCGCGACGAAGTCCAGGCTTCCAAAGAGGAAGGTCTGGGACAGCTCGAAGACGGGAGGTACCCACGTCCCAATAGGTGGGAGCGTGGGGAACTCCAGCGAGATAAAGCGAATCGTATCGCTTGAGCCCGCCATGCCGAAGATGGCGGAAAGGTGGGCCATCCGATGATGAAAAGTGTGAACGTGCGGCGTCCTCCCCACGGATGGCGCCAACTGTCGGTGCGAAAAGTGACCAACTAGTAAATATTTATCGTTTTGACATACACTGTGATCGGATGTGGCCTAGCACTCAATGACACAGGGTTTATATTGGTTCAGACAACGTGTTCTACGTCCAGTTTGAGTCGGTCGGTGACTTTATTCCTGAGCCCAGGTGCTCGAAGTTTGCTGTGGGGTTACAAACGAGTGAGAGTAAGATGGGGGTGTAAGAGACCCGGTCGGACTTTGGACTGAAGAGCTAAGAGTGACGGGAGCTCCTATGTGTGCTAAGTATTCTAACGTGTGCTCTGTGTAGCTTTAGAAAGTCTAAAGCTAGCAGAGAGTGAATCGAAATGATCCGTGTGTTGTTGTCCGAATCGATCGTCCAAATTCTTTTCTCTGTTGAGAGAGAGCGCATCCCCTTTTATAGATGAAGGGGACGGCCTTACAAGTGAGAGAGAGTGTGTGTGAGCTACCTAGTCTTGTTGCCCACGCCGTCGGGTACAAGATGGTTTGTCGACGCCCACAATACTGTTGATGCCCAGATGCATGTGGTAGGTTTCATCGTGTTCTTCTGGTATGGCAGATGTCGGCGTCTACCATACTGTAGGACAAATATCGACGCACACAACACTGTTCGTGTTCTAACATGTCTGGAAGGTCATAAAGTACCCTTCTGACATGACCTGACAGTACTGTCCCGCGGATGTGCAGGGTACGGTCCTCGGTAGTTTGGTTGACTTGAGCACCCTGCCTTACTTGTTCCGCCCGTTTCCTGGGTCCTCAACAGAGCGGGCGTCCCTGTTCGGTTGTTCCCAGTCGGCTCCGACTGCACCGGTCAGAGAAGAGCTGTTTAAGCAGAGGTTCGGTGTATTCCCGGTCGGAGAAGCGGGTCGGAGTCGGAAGCGAGGGTCACCCCCTCCTTGGTCATGCCTTCCGGTCGGAGGAGCGGGTCGGAATCGAAAGCGAGGCCTTCCGGTCGGAGACGCGGGTCGGAGTCGGAAGCGAGGGTCGCCTCCTCTTTGGCCAGGCGTTCCGGTGGAAGACGCGGGTCGGAGTCGGAAGCGGGTGTTGTTCTCTCCTTGTCTAGGCCTTCCGGTCGGAGACTGGATCGCTTTTTTGGCCTGTCGTTTAGGTATCTTGGCTGGCCCAGGAGTTGTGCGTCGTTCGCAACGTCGTCTGCTGGGCCGAGCTTTTGCTGAGAAGCAGGTTCATTAGGACCTCGGGTTTATAAACCCGAAAATGCCTGTGATGTTTAAGGTTTAGGGAATTATTTTGTTGGTACATTTCTCTTCAGTAGGGTCTAGAGCTTAGCAAGTTAATAATGCACTTAATACAGGAGCGTTCAGACAGTCACGGGCTCTTGGCTGATCCCGCCAAATTCCCGTGTCGTTTATTCTCGAGATGATATTTTATCAAACAAAAAAGTTAAAGTATCTTCTCTTAAAAAATAAACAGGAATCTTGCTGAAGTTCTCGAGATGATATTTTATCAAACAAAGTTAAAGTATCTTCTCTTAAAAAATAAACAGGAATCTTGGCGTACATACAAGTCTTATCCATTTGTTGGAGAACCAGCGATGAGCGATATTTTGAAGAAGAAAGCCACGCAACCCCGAGAAACTAGAAGGCGTTTAAAAGAAAAAATCTAGAAGGCGGTTCAGACTTCAGACGGAGATTGAAGTAGAGGCAATGGAGGAGAACGGCGGCGCTGGCACGACGAAGTGGAGTATCTCCAGACCGTCAGCGGGAACGCCGCTGGAGGTCGCGGGGACCATGAGTATCCGCGCAGTGCTCGACCGTGTCTTCTCCTCGGTAGACGGCTCGGGCCCGCGGCCAGTGCTGACGCTCGGCAGCGGTGACCCCACAGCCTCGCCCTGCTTCAGGCCTCCGCCCGAGGCCGAGGACGCCATAGTGGAGGCGCTCAGATCTGGGAAGCACAACGGTTACTCACCGACAGTCGGCGTCCTCCCGGCGCGCCGGTGAGATCCCCTGCCCCTCATCTGTGCAGTATGCGATGCGAGTGTCTCAAAATCATGGTACTTCACGACGCCATACTCAGAGTCAACTGCATACTAGTAGATGCTTTTTGTACTTTTGAAGCAGCCACGTAGCCAAACTGTTTTTGTACTTTTGTTCCAAATCATAGTACACATACATGTCTACTTTTGTTGCAAATCATGGTACTTCTGGTAAGAGTGCCTACGCAGTATAGATTTCTGATTGAACAAAGCCAGACACCTTCGTGCAATGGCCAAGACAGAAGGCTGCGTTCAGAGTTCCCGGGTTCTCTTGAGGTTATTGTTTTTGAGGAAAGATGCAGATTTTTTTTTGAACGCAATGGTGCCTTTCTATAAACGGAAAAGAGAGTATATGTACAGGAACACGGCTTAAACACCGAACCCTCCTCCCACCACACACACAAGGGAAACTACCCCCGTAAATTAAGTGCCCTTCTATATTGAACTAAGCAATCTTTTTTTTTAATGAAAGCGGAGGGGAAAGAGTACTACTGATATGCTCTGGAACAGCAAAGCACTTGCTGTTCAACCATGATAGGAGGTTTTACATATTTAACAGATTCAAGACATAATGGAAACAAAGGTGTTACACCAATATGTGACTACATATCTATCACCACTTGGAAAGCGAAATTGCCACAGGCAGCAGCTTCTCTAAGCAATATTTTTCCCCAGGGAAAGATGCAGAGTTTCTCATGAAATGCTTTCTTGCAATTGCTATCCACATAGCATTGGAATATATATACTGCTGCATTTGAAATCTATTGTATGAACACTTGAGTGTGCAACTTTTTTATATTAAGTGTGGCCTGATTCCTCTGTTTATCATGAAGCCAGATTTTTTTCCATTATATGTAAAAAAATTTAGTCTTTTGTGTATTAATCTGCATCTTTTAAGCTTTGCTGCCTGTAACATTCAGTTCCTCGTACCTCTGTTCTACAATTTGTCATGGCCTTTTACTTCCCTTAAAGGTTCCGTTCTTCAACTTGCATTCCTGACCATATCTCATGTTCCTTTCTTGAATTGGCAGTGCTATTGCAGAGTACCTATCTCGGGATCTTTCCTATCAGCTTTCACCAGACAATATTTACCTCACTGCTGGATGCTGCCAAGCTATTGAGGTCATCATCTCTGTCCTTGCTCAGCCTGGCTCCAATGTCTTGCTTCCCAAACCTGGGTTTCCATTGTACGAGTCACGGACCATGTTCAGTAATCTTGAGGCCCGACATTTTAACCTTATTCCTGATCGTGGCTGGGAGGCTGACCTTGAGTCTCTGGAAGCTCTTGCTGATGAGAATACTGTTGCGATGGTCATTATAAATCCTAGTAACCCTTGTGGGAGTGTATACTCATATGATCATTTGGCCAAAGTAAGTTTATATATTTCTGAGACAAATATTTCCTAGGATCTGTTCCTGTTTGTTATATTACTCAAATTTCCAATGATGAAAATGAACAGATTATGGAGACTGCAAGGAAACTTGGAATAATAATCATAGCTGACGAGGTATATGACCATTTGGTTTTTGGCAATAAGCCTTTTATACCAATGGGTGTCTTTATGATATAGTTCCAGTGATCACCTTGGGATCTATATCTAAAAGATGGCTTGTGCCTGGTTGGCGACTTGGTTGGATAGCCACGTGCGACCCGAATTGTGTGTTAAAGGAAGCTCAGGTAAACATTTGATCTGTGTTCTTGTGAATTCCTTTGGGCTGTCAATTAAAAAGCAGCCACCTGTACTTCACTCCTGCTCGAGATGTGAGTTGCACTTTTGAGCACGGGTAAATGGTAGATCCATTCTAAAATAACATGCGAGCCCATCCTTTATAGAAAGAACAATTTGATAACTTATAACATCTAGCCAGTTGTCCTGAAAGTTTTCTGATTCAATTTCTACTAGCATATACTTGACAGATTCAGTGTCTCTTTCTGGTTACGTTGATAAAGTTTTCCAAATAAAGAATAGTCGGGTGTAAGGTGTTTTCACAGGTGTTGATAAAACTAAGAAGCCAAGGGGATGTCTCTCCCGATGGTTCAGTTTTTTAGATAAAACTACGAAGCACTACTGTATCATGAGTTCATGACAGGGATTTGCTGAAGCAGTGCAGTACTGCTGTTGGTGACCTTTTTGAATCCTGGGAATTTATCGATAGTGTCATAGTGATGTAATAAGATGTCCAGTCTCCACATATTCTGGAACTTCGATATTCAAATGGTTTCCTTTTTATTGACAAGCCACTAAAATATATGATAAAACCAAAGTGATGTTTGTGTCCTTAGTTACTTGATCAGCCAATATAATTTGATCCACTAGGTGACGCGATAAATTTAAAGGGATGAAGCAAACAAGAAACTCTGTGAGGTTCACTGGTGGAATGAAACTTTTGGAAGGCAGAAATAAGCTTTCTGAAATATCCTTTATCAAAAGTGTCATATGAGTAATGGAAATTAGAAAATGTAAATATTAGTCTGACATATTGAATTGGTGAAGAAATTCTTGATACTGTTCAATTGGTCTCAAAATATGAAACACTGTTCTGGATAGAATCATGACAACTATCAAAGCTGTGAAACCATACAAAACTATGATGTTAATGTTGCCACCTAGAAGTCTGCGTTTCTGGACCAAATAATCACATGTTCTTTATATTTGTATGTTATTTTTCCTATTCATTAAATGTTAATTCAACTATGGGAACCTAGAGAATTGGCTATGGTCAATTATGTAGCTGTGAAAAATATGAATTTCAATAATACTGAAATATACTGGATATTTTATTAGCCATTTCATTCGTACTAAATCTTTTTAATGAAGGCTGTATTTTTTGAGGCTCCTATATTTTAGTTGGCTGGTTATTCATTTTGTACCATTACATTGTGTTACAGGTTGACAAATTGATTGAAAACTATATCAATATCACAAATGATCCTGCAACATTTATCCAGGTATATTTCTCTACATTTTTGTTGAACAATATTTTTAGAAGAGCTTGTGTTTCAGCTGATGTCAAACTTATGGCTAATTATGTCTTACAGGGCGCAGTCCCTCAAATAATAGCCAACACAAAGGAAGATTACTTCAACAAAATACTTAATCTTTTGAGGAACTCTGCAGATTTATGTTATAATAAAATAAAGGAGACTAGGGGCATCACATGCCCTCACAAGCCAGAGGGATCAATGTTTGTTATGGTAAACAGATTCAGACATTCAGTAACAGAAATGCTTAATGCTCCTTGTAATAGCTTATGATCCTTGTTTTACAGGTAAAATTGGATCTCTCTTGGTTGGATGGCATCCAGGACGATTTGGACTTCTGCTGCAGGTTGGCAAAAGAGGACTCTGTAATAGTGTTACCAGGTATATTGGAATTTGGACTTCCATACGTGTGCTAATTTTAGTTGCTTCATGTTTCTGTTCTAGTTAATACAACTGTTCTGGTATCGTCTGCCTAAAGTCCCGCGCTGAGGTACATGAGTAAATTTGCAGGAAGTGCACTAGGAATGAAGGACTGGATTCGTATCAATTTCGCTACGGATGTACCTACTCTTGAGAATGCCCTTGAACGGATCAAGTCCTTCTGCCAGAGGCATGCTAAACTACAAGCATAAACACAGAGATGGTCAAGCTATTACATAATTACATTGTTGTGCTGAATCACTCTTGTCCCAGCTATTGCACCGGTCTGGTGAATGCATCACCAGACTGTTGTTAACAAACGATGGTCTTGCAAATAATGTGACGAAATTAATTGATTTGCCTTACTTTTACGTTGGTGTACTATTCCTGTTTGGCTTAGATAATTCTTGCAGGGAGTACGTCATGTGCAGAAAATACTGCAGTTTGCCAAAAGTTTCTCGGTTACTCCAACGGCTATATTTCGCACGAGCGCCACTGGCAGGTGGGCCCCAACTCGCTTTCAGATCTCCGATCTCCAAAACAAAGGGAAGTCGGTCCCCCGAGGACCCGATGTCCTGATCCGAAACAACCCAAACAGCTACAAGACTAACCCAAAGAACCGAGCGAGGCAAATCGTCGAACAAATGGAAGCCATGGCCGCGGAACCGTCCTCCACGGCGTCGACTGCCGCCGCCAATCTCCCTGCTCCGCCGTACCATCCCACTGCCAAGCTCCAGCTGATGAGGTAGCAACGCCGCCGCCAAAACCGAAGTCGAAGGCAGTGTTTGGCTGGGCTTAAATTTTCACTGTTTATGCTGGAAAATACGAGAAAAACACTGCTCCGGCTGGAAATTGTAGCCAACCAGCCAGCTGAACACGCTGGAAGCAATCAACCGTGGGAACATTTTAGTGGAATATTAAGTTTGTGAATTGGGTTTTGCTTAATTTGTATTATGTTTGTAAGCTTGGCTCAACATTTTAGTGGCAGAGGATATGCAGCCAAGGAACTGTGTTGAGCCTGTTCCTGACCAGAAGCAGCACCTTATGGGACATGTTATTGAATTTGCATTTATGACAGAAATTAAGTTCCTCTGTTTTTAACTCATACTCCGTATATGGCAATATATTTGACCAAAATGAACCTGGATAATTGATTCCTGCTTTTATGTTTGTCTATCTTTTTTTTGCTAGTTATTATGACTAACGTGAGACATGAAAATAGTTCTTGCTTTAGAGATTTTTTTCCTGTTCAAAACATGAGATATTCGCTTTGATACAGGCACAGTCGAAGCATGAGGTGATTATGAAAATTATGTGAATCTGGAATTTATTGCTTGTAGTCTGCAGACATAGTCTTTTATTTATGTACTAGTGAACTTGTGCGGTGTGCCTAGAGTTGAGCTCACTTGAGTTGCATCCATGTATCCTATTATGACGTTTCGTGTGGAACACTGTCTTTAGTGATAATTCGGGTGGGCAGGAGTCATCATTTGGTTTTTGTTGAACAATATTTTTATTTGCTTCGATTTGGTTGGTTTTTGTTGAATGCTACCTGTTGAATTGTATAATCCGCAAGTAATGAAATTCGGACGGGCAACCGTTGTGGAAAAAATGAAAAAAAGATTTGGTGTTTTCATATTTTTTATATAGTAGATCCTTTTAAAAAAAACTCTGGCATGACAATAACATAGGGCATATTTGGTACGTGGCCTGAAGCCAGCCAGGCTCAGGCCATGGCTAGCTTTAGGCCAGCCACAGCCTGTCTGAACTGGTGCAAGACGTCGTGTTTGGTTGCCTATATCAAATAGACCTGGCCCAATAGAGATTGTGTTTTGTACGAGGCAGAGGCATGGATGGATATGGTCGCCCTCGTATCTGGAATAGGTGGCGTTACCTCTCTTCTCACCCTTGTTGGCATTCCATGAACGGTTGGTAGGCGGCGGCGAGGAACACGAGTATTAGCCTGTTCGCTGGCTCGTAAACAATTGTAAATTTCTAGTCGAGAATAGTATTTTTCTCTTACACCAAACTAGCCGACCGTAAATGATCCACGATACGATACGGCCTCCCGAACAGATCAGGCGTCCATGGCAAGCATCCAGAGCGGGACGTGGAAGAAGCTTGGCTCCACCAAGGCCATGGCTGCCGCCTAGCTCGAGGCCATCGCGCGCGGACGCCGTACACGGGGCGCTCCGCGGTGATCCAGCCGTCTCGGGCGACGACAATCTCCCCGGCTGCGGCGCGCGCCACGTCGATGGCGACGCGTGCACGGACACCACCAGCTCGGCGGGGCGCGTCGAGAGCCTCCGCACGGCCTCGGAGTCGAGGCTGAGCACGACGGGGTCGGCGTACGCCGCCGCTGCGCCGGGGCCCGAGGCGGCGGACGCGCACACGAGCGACAGCAGCGCGGTGCGGGAGAGAAAGGAGGAGGGTGGTCCTGGACGAGGCGCTCCAGCGTCGGTGGCCAGCACAGGTGGTTGTCGCGGCGGCGGCGGCCGCTTGCGGGGGCGCAGGTTCGGGAGGAGGCTGCGGCGGCGCCCTGAGCTTGGGCTCGACCTCGAGTCCGTCCCGGGCAGCGACGAGCTCGCGAGGTGATGCTCCTGCTAGGCTGAGGCTCGGCTGTGGAGGGCGAGGAGCAGGGCGGCGGGGTGGTCTCGGTCCGCCGGGACGCAGGAGAGGTGCGAGACGGAGACGCCGCAAGCGGAGCAGAGCGCAGTGGGCCCGGGCGTGGCGGGGCGGGGGAGAGGAGGTGGATGCAGGCGGAGCAGAAGTCAGACGGGCTGTAGAGGAGGAGGTCGGAGGCGCGGCGACACCAACGGAGGAAGGGAGCGGTCATCGGGGCGGTGGGTGAGAAACACCGAGCCGGGAGGTGACTCGAGGCATCGCGCGAGCGCTGAAGTCGGCCTGGCCGCAGAGAAACGGACGTTCAGTGCGTTTCCTGGGAGCCAGGAGAGAGCGTTTTTTTTTCATCTGGCGAGCCGGGCTCGGTGACGGGCCAAGTAAATCAAACACAAGCTGTTGCAGCCCACGGGCGCAGGCCACCCTCTGGCCCTATACCAAACACGCCCCTAGTTCAGTGGCCACAGCCATATGAAACCCTAACATAGGACTTCCTCCATCCCAGATCGTAAGACGTTTGATTTTTTTGTCTCAAGTTTGACCACTCGTTTTATTCAAAAAATTTGTGCAAATATAGTCAAATTTAAGTCATTCTTGAAGAATTTTTATTAATAAACCAAACAACGACGAAAGAAGTGATATTTTACACAAATTTTTGAATAAGACGAGTGGTCAAACTTGGTGTCAAAAAAGTCAAACGTCTTACAATTTGGGATGGATTGAGTACATCCTAAACATCTTAGGTGCCTTTATTTTTAGGGTTAATTAGAACCGTGTCATTATAAGATCCTATTTGGATCCAAGGGGTTAAAGATTAGCCTTCCTTTTTTTAACCACTTTTTAGCCCTTGAGGATCCAAAGAGGAGGGCTAAAAGGAGGGGCTAATATTTAGCCTTTCATTAGCCCATTAGCCCTCGCAAGATAGACTAAATGTGGCTAAAAGTGCTAATAAGTGACTTTAAGACCTTGTTTGGCTAATGATTTTTGCGGATGATAAGTCGGCTGAAGCTGATTTGTTGTGAGAGAAAAACATTGTTCCATGGCTAATAAGTTTAAGCGAACACGGCGTACTCTATCTCTCTCCTCTCTTTCACATTTTAGTCAAACTTTAGCCCCTTCATTTTAAGGGCTAATCTTTAGTCCTGGCTAAACTTTAGCCAAAGAATCTAAATAGAGCCTAAATTTGATGTTTTTAAGAAACATCACCGCTTCTCATCTTATAGAGATGGTGCCATTACAATTCTCCCAGTTTGAAGTACGCCATATTTCTTCCTCTTCGTCTCACTTACAAGTGGGCCTCATCTGTCGTCTCCTTCCTCCTACAGTCCTGCTCTCCCCAAATCCATCTCCTGGTCATGGTGGCGCTTGGCCAGAGCTCCCGTGGCGTGACCACCCTAGGGGCAAAAGCTCCCGGACGACGACCGGCTCGGGCGAGATACCCGGGCAAGCGCAGCCAGCCAGGCGCGCATACACATACATGCAAAAACAGCTTACAGAGACGTGCATAAGTTCATTCTCCTCTCTTCTCACTAATTATTTTTTTCTTTCCCTTTGCATTGATCTAAGGCTCTAAGCCACCAACAATAGTGCTTCTTTGCTTGAATTGTTCTAACAGAGCTGTTCCCCGGTTTCTGAATAATTTTCAGTTGAATCGTCATGGGAGCGAAATTGCTTTTCACTTTTCCATGTGTTGCTTTCTTGAGCAGATCAATTGCATAACATCTTTGTGACAATAGAATCCCATCTTTCTCCTGCTTAACCTTTGAATGTCCAAAAATATTGAAGTTGGTGTAAATCTTTGACGGCATCGATCGCTACCATCAATTTTATGGGCGCCACTCCTCATTTTGGTGTTAACACGATGTCACCGCCACCGGGCACCACGATAAAAAAGTAAAAATCGAAAGAGCATCTTGTCGGCGTTTGGACCGGGGTCCTCAACCAACCATAAATGTGAATCTGCGTGCCCCTAATCCCGGATGGTGATGCAAAAGAAACACAAGGTTTATACTGGTTCGAGCAATCGGCGCCTCGTCCGATCTAGGAGATCGATCTTGTATTCTCTCGCACCAAGTGCTTGTAGTAGGGGGTTACAAAGTCGGGTGAGAGAGGGAGCTAGTCCCAGTGTCTCGGCGTAGAATGGTGCGGGCTGCTTGAGTCGTTGCTCTCGAGCGCGGCGTGGGAGCGCACGTGAATTGAGTGAGTGCGTTTTTAGCGTGAGGGTCATGGTTTTTGATCCCTAGAAACGGCCTGGCCGCTTCCTTTATATAGCCACAAGGAGGGAGCCAGGAGTACATGAGAGAGCTACATGTGGAGCCTTAGCGAGAAAGGAAGATCCAGTTCTGTGGCCTATTCCTGTAGTAATACAATGTCGGGAATGACAATTGGTACTTGATCACCGGTCGTCCACGCAGCCATGCCCGAGGGTTTGTTGAAGTCGTAAGAGTCCTTGTTGACGTCTAGTCGATATGGCCTCCACATAGGTGACATGCCGTGCTCGGTGGACTCTTGTCCCGGTGGAGTGCCGAGGCCTAGTGGGTGCTGGAGCTGATCGTGCCGAGGCCTTCTTTGCCGAGGCCTCGAAGGTGACCTG